GTGCCTACCTGTGATATTAAAAAAGATGCTATCCGGTTAAAAAAGAACAAAAATAAATAAATAATAATTGAAAAAAAAATATGATTTGATATTCAAGATTGTAAACTATAAAAGAATCAAACTTATAAGTCATACAATGATGCTACGAAACAGTATGATGGAAAGTAGGCTCACAAAAATGATATTAATTTTGAATAACCATTTTAAATACTAGAGATATCCATTATAAAATAATTTTTACTTTAAAATACTGAAATGTAGAAATATAGAGATCATGAGAAGATTTTCCCCAATTTTTTTATTGTACTTTAGAAGACAGATGATCGTGCGCCATGATAATTAGATTTGGTAAATGTGTGTATGATAAAACACTGAGCAACATTAGAAATAGTTGTAGAGATATGAATATGCTTACAAATGACATTTAAGGTGAAATTCCTTATGCAATGCTTTTGCATTTATAATTATTTAGAAGCCGATAAAAATTATAAAAAGGAGAAAATATTTTAAAGATAAAAGCATTAAAATTTAGTAGAAAAAATAATAAATATATAAATATATAATTTAAATGGGTATAATATTAATAATTATCAGTTAATAATATTAAAAGATAATATAATGCTTAAATGTAATAGGTTTAAACATCACACAAAAGAATAAATATATAAATGACAATATAATTTTTAGAGTTCAAGATGCATGATTAAAACAAAAAAAAAAGTCTCTAGAGTTTTGTGTAAAAAGATAATATAATTAAGATTTAAAGATAAATTTAATAAAACTATAATTATGTTGGTGATATTGTATTGATTCAAATGCTGGGATGTAAGAAAAAAGGTTGATATCTAAATTGAGTATATATGAAAAAAGAATGTAAAGATGGATGCATGAAAAAGCTATGAAGAATAAAATAAAAAAATGAATATACTAGGGAAAAGGAATTGGAATCACATACATCGAAGATAAGACAACTAGACATAGACTAAGACGGTTTGTACATTGCAAAAAAACATAGATAATATGCGCACAAAACTAATTGCTAAAATTATTGTTCAGTGATTAGGAAAAAACGGGGTAGACCTTAAATGGATAGAAATTATACATTAGGATTTTGAAAAAAAAAAGATTTAACTTCTCAAATAACAATCAACAAAAATAAATAAAAAAATAATATTCAAAATGTAGACCCTAAATAGTTAGAACAAAGCTAATGATGATGATGATCATGAATCCTCAAATAATATCTAGAATTCTTCTTTTTGCCATCTCCATTGGGATTCACATCCAACATATCACAAAGCTAATTTTCACTTATGAAGCTATTATTGAAGAGGAAATCATTTCCATTATTGATGGCAAATATTAAAGATGTTTTATAAAATGCAAAGGAGGATAGGTGATAATTCATGGACTTCTCCACAAGAATTAAAATAATTATGTCCAATTCTACTTCATGAATATCAACTAAACATTTAGTAAGAACCAAACCTCCCTCGATATTTTTATTACAAGATCCCTTATATTAGGGGACTTTTGATGCCCTTGCAACCTTCGTGATTGTGAGTTTTTCAAGATGAAACTATTACAAGATTTTCGATTACAACACTTACAACTCTTTCGATTATGATATGATTGTGGGATAAGATTGCTACAAGATTCGATGAGTTTTAATTCATATTGTTAACTTATAAATTTTTTTAATTGTAATTTCAAGGAGGTTGTGTGATTATAAATATTAGAATGAATTATAAGATATATAAAAAATATTTCAATCTATGTATTCTTTGAGACCCTGTTTGGCGCAGCGATTTCGCTGCTGCGCGGCACCGCGCCGTATAATTTTGATGTTTAGGGCGGAGGCTAGTCTGCGGTGTGACGCGATTTGGCTCGAACGCGGAACGTGTATAATACCCCGCAGCCCAACTTCGGCACTCTACGTTTTACCCTAATACCCTACCCAAAACATTTTCGCTCGTCAAATATGTGCTCCTGCGATCGAAGATCACCTCTCATCCTCTTCTCCGACGGCTTCCTCCTTCTCTCTGACATGCACTCACGATACCCATCAACTTCGTATGCCTTCTTCTCCAACGACTTCCTCCTTCTCTATGACATGCGCTCACGATACCCATCAGCTTCGTATGCCTTCTTCTCCAATGGCTTCCTCCTCTCCTTCTCTTCGCACTGATAATATATTTATTTATTTATTTTTCTTTTTTGTTCTGTGAGATGGAACAGAGGCCAATCTTTGTAGATCTAGAATTTTTTATGTTTGCTTAGGTTGGATTGTGTTCGATGGCTATTAACGCAGTTGCATTTCCATGTTATAGCTTATTTTAAACTGATTTAGGAATTTCATAGGAGGCATTCGATTTTGCTGTTTGATGCACCAGCATCACACTCATTTTCTGCTATCATTTTCTGCAAGTTGTGCCTAGTGGTCTTTTAGGTCTTTTATGTGATTGCATATGGGTTTGTATTTTCTCTTCTATAATTTTGGATGCATTTCTTTTCTATGCTCACACTTATTGTTAGACTTCTTGATAGAAGTTCAAGTATTTCAACAAATTTTTATAACATTGTTTTTATAACCATGTAACTTATTAATGCGCACATCTTACATTTATAAATATCACCAGCAACTTCCTTGAAATGAATTTTTGCTTCTGAAGTTCCAAAAATGTCGCTGTTACAGTCTTATCTCAAACAATTTTACAAAACAGGAGTAGTATGGTCATTTTGTAGGAACAGTTGCTCCGCAGCTGTTTTCACGCAGCTGCACCAAACAGACAGTCAGCTTCCCCGCAGCAGCTTTTTGGGACAGCGCAGCTGCAGCTGCGCCAAACAGAGCATGAATCAATAAATTTAATAAATTTCTAGTTGGACATAATTTTTCTAGCATTCTTTGGTGCAAGTGGAGATTTAAGATTTCGAGGGGAAATTATCACCATGCACAATTAGGAAGATTGATTATTATTTTATGATCTATTACCACTTGAGATGTTTCATTTGAGGCCTCAAGTATCTAAACATCCCCGATTGTTTTGGACTCGTTCATTTGGGCTCTCTTTTTTTTTTTTCAAAAATAAGAATAAAAAACTGCAGGACCATTGAATATCTTAAATTTGAAAAGAAACATTCTAAATGAAGGGCAACCTGACATGCTAAAAGTTTGTTGACCATCAACAGTCTCACTTCCAAACTATATCCTTCCCCCAAATTGTTTCTTTATTCTGAAGTACAACTAAGCAAGAATTCGAGAGAAAACCTTTTTTTACCAGGAATCAAAATGGAAGAAAAGTTTGATAATTTATTAGATGGTAGATGGAAAATGTAAGTTTTGGTTTCAAATATACCCTCTGAGGAAAAAAAAAGATAAATGCAGAATGCATGAAGCAATCAAGCGGTTGACTGGGCGTTTTTAAAAAAAGTCCCAATGGAGGAGGGAAAAAGCAAAGAAAACATGGAAAACGAGGAAGAAGGGTGAAAAAACAATCGCAAGTTTTACACAAGGGGAAAAAAGGAGAGGAATGGAGGAGAAATATGAATGATTTGTCCACAAGAAGAAGATAATCAACTCAGCCTTCTGGCCTGCTAATGCTGTCCGTTATAGTAACATCCTTATTTTTTTTATAGAATACAATGAACCCATAAAAGAGTCAAAATCACTGCTACTGGCGCATGGAACGAATAAAAGAGCTTAGTATAAAAAATGTTTAGAAATTGACCACTGCTAATATTATTTTGAATCAAACCCCAAGCAACGGATAAAATTATAGCCAAACCAAAGCATGCATGATGCATGAATGCTGATATAATGGTCAAAAGAAATAAGTGCTCAAAGCCTAATATGTACCTTCATAACATGGGCTTAAATAGGTATTATAACATTTTATAAATAAACCCTTAGACTTTTTCAATATTCTCTTTTTACCAATAGACCCTAAATATAGTCCACTTCTCAACACTATCCCTCAAGATGGGCAAAAATATCCACTAAGCCCATCTTATCACACAACCTAGACAAATCTAATAAACTAAGTCCTTTAGTGAGGCTGTTAGCCACTTGCTCTGTAGTGGCTATGTAACTTAGCTCCAGTAGCCTGTTATTTAGCTTTAAGCCAGTTAGTTTGCTTTTCCTTGATGAAAAATCTATTAATCTCCACATGTTTGGTTCTATCATGTTGCACCGGGTTGTTGTCAATGCTAATTGCTCACTTGTTGTTGCACCACAAATTCATTTGAATTCTTTGGTCCACCTTGAGCTCAACTAACAAGGATCTCAACCACATCATCTCTGCAACTCCTAAGTCTTTGGCCCTATACTCTGACTCTGTTGTTGACCTTGCTACTACAGACCGTTTTTTGCTCTACCAAGAGACCAAGTTGCCCCCTACAAACGTGCAACATCCTAAAGGTAGATCTTCGTCATATGCACAACTCGGCCAGTCAGCATCACAAAATGCCTCAATGTCTACATGCCCATTCTTTCTGAAGATCAATCCCTTTCCTGGTGCACTTTTCAAGTATCTCATAATCCACTGCATCCATATGACCATTCCTTGGAACAAGCATGTATTGGCTCACTATGCTCACTGCAAAAGAGATTTCGGGTCATGTGTGACACAGATAGATCAAATAGCTCACCAATCTATGGTAACTCTCACGATCAATTGATTTTGCTCTATGCGCTCAGCTTGACCTTCTGGTCAATTGGAGAGACAGCAGGTTTGCACCACAACATGTCTGTTTCCGTGAGATCTAGTACATACTTTCTCTAGGACAAGACCATCCCCTCGGGTTGACGGGCCACTTCAATCCCAAGAAAATAATCGAGTTGTCCAGAATCCTTTTACCTCAAATTCATTGCCCAATCTTATCTTTAGTTGGAATATCTCTGTCTCATCATCACCGATGACAACGATGCCATAAGCATACACAACAAATACAATGATGTGACGTTCATATTAACAAATAAACACAAATAAGTTTTTGTTTAAGAGCTCCTAGTAAGCATGTCAAATTCATAAACATCATAAACAAGTTTTTCTTTATTTACCTTTTCATACAAAAAAGAATACAACCAGCTCAATAAATTGAAAGAAGAATGTATCATGCGTCTATAATGTAGCAACAACACATCCTCTACACTCCTCTCAGGTTCTCCTACTCCATCACTCTCTATCATGGATGTCAAAGCTGAGTCCATCCCCTCTCGATCTAGGTATCAGAGTCCACTATGCAATATTCTAGTTCCAAGTGTCTGACCCGTCATTTTATCTTGATAGATCAGCTTAGGAATATCAAAATAAACAACACATTTTAGTTGAAAAATAATGATAATAAAGGAAAAGGAGCATACAAAACATTATACAAAGTTATATAATTTGTACCCCTCATTGTACTCTTACCAACTACAGGCCATGTTGTACCATCAATAGTCTGGATGCTCTCTCGTACTGTTGGGGGAGTATAAGAAGAAAACTCTATAGCAGTACCTGCCACATGTCGAGAATCACCTGAATCTACAATCCATTCTAATGATCATGTGGTGGAAATAGAGGCAAGTACCTTTGTCAGAGTGAGCATAAGCGACAATGTTATCATTTGATGACAACTGGTTGGAAACATCCTTAGCCCCATCTCTTGTTGCTTTCTGCTTCCACTTCAACAACTGCAGACATTGATGATCTTCATTGGTGAAAATCACACCAGTCTCTCCCTCCTCTGCTATCATCAGATTGCCCGGTAGCCCCTCTTTCCACCTTTTCAACCACCATGACTATGACTACGACCTCCACCATGTCCATGTTCTTGCCTCTCTTTTCTTAGGTGGCCTTAGACAGGTCTTACTCAGATGTTAGCAATTGCGAGTCTCTTCCTTGACATCTATCATATACCTGAGCTCGAGGCAGCCAATGCTGATCGCGCGACCGGAAGTCCGCTTGGCTCAGAGTATAGCTTCATGCGACTCTCCTCTTGTAATATTGCAACAAGGACCTCATCTAGTGAAGGGATAATCACCTAAGCCAGAAGGATTGATCTCCTTTGATCAATGATTGGGTTCAGATGAGCCAAAAATTACATATTTCTCATCTGTGTAAAAATCCCCCTTTATTGCAATTCAGATTGCCACAACTCGTCACCGGTGAGAAATGATCAAGATCCACCAACAACTACTCCAAATCTATGACGCATTCCTGAATCGATCTATCACCATGCACCGCTGCTTTTATCTCACATTGAATCTGAAACACCCTCATGTGGTTCTCCATCTCAACATAAATCCTCTTTAGCTTTGCTCAAATGTCCCTCCCTTACCTTTTGAATGTCATCTACTAATGTGGCAATTGATGAAACCATCGAGTTGAGAAATCAGATGTATCAAAAGATGTGTCTGGTCCTCTCATCCCCTCAACACTGTCACCCTCTGTCTTGGCCTTGACTTCTATCAGATAACCCTAAAGACTCTTTCCGACTAGAACAACCTCAATTCAACACGACCAACTCATATACATGGCCGGTCCATAAAGCTTCAGATCTACATGAGGGAGATCTAATTCCACCTGCATCGGAGAACATGTCAAGATAATGGCTCCCATTGAGATGCTAGCTCCCTGTATGAGTCTGATTAATACATTCAGAATCTCAGAATTTATCTTTCTCAGATGCTCCAATCCTTTACCTCCCGCAACATCTCCTCCTAAACAAGGATCCAAGTCTAGATCACACATGACTTCCTCTTCTTGACCTGATCTTGATCTACTTTACCATCAAGGCCAAGATCCTCCATATAAACCCTTCTTTTTCTCCTTCTGTTGCACATCCAGTACACAGAAGTCACGCATCTCTCCCTATTTGTTCCCCTCTGTCGCCTCCCCTTGTCCTTTCATAGTGTCGCTCCACTCCTTCCTCTTGCAGCAAACTGCAGAAGCCCTTTCCTGCCTGAATCCCTCGCGATACAGTCAGTAAAGCAACTTCGAGAACGCAACATACAACTGCGATACAGTTGTGATTAGAGCTTGTTGGGAAGGCGAAGACGTGAGACGGCTAGGTTCCACACCTTCGTGACTAAACCCTGCGAGACAGTCACGATCAAAACTTGTTGGGAAGGTGACGATGCGACCAAACCTTGTGATGCAGTCGCGATCAGAGCTTCCTGTGAAGGCGAAGATATGGGGCAGCTAGGTTAGGCTTTGATACCAAAAACAAAGAATTGCTCAAAACCTACCTAATATGTACATTCATAACATGGGCTTAAATAGGGCATTACAATGTTTTACAAATAAACCTTATAGTTCTTCAATATTCTCTTTTTACCAATAAGACCTTAAATAAGATCCAATTCTCAACATGTTCTCTCAACAATTATTTTGAATAAGAAATGGAACATAGTTATAAGAGCAAATAAATAATTACCTAGGAAGAGAAATGTGTTTCCTCTCTAAAGGAACCGTGGGAGAATTTGTTCCACCGTTCTCCTCCAGGTGAGCAAACTGTCTTTTGAATTGATCAACCGCACTAAAATGATAGAGATACAATATCCATGATAAGCAAACAATAAATAAATTGTTGAAAGATATGGAAGATAAAATAAATAAATAACCTAGGATACATGAAACTTGTTCTCTCTGTGCCATTTATATAGTCCTTAAGAAGTTGAGGGTGATATTCCAATATTTCACGAAAAATAAGTTCTCTAATGTCCTCTTTTGTCACCCTTCGCCGCTCAAATTCAAACTCCATTTTTGTGATTGGTTGGCAAGGGGGCTCCCTCTCCACTTTGGCCAAACCATTAAAATAAGGATCTGCCAATGCCTACAACCAGAGACATTTTAAGATGAGAAAGCATGCCAACAAATAATGATGAGAGAAATAAAATGCACATTCTTCTCATTTACAACATGGTGTCTAACTACGATTGCATTAATAAACAAGAAAAAAAAGTTACATGACCAAAAAGAAACAAAAGAAATGTTTGAAACTGGTCCCCGACTCTTTGTCGGGGATCATCGTCCCAAAGTCAATTTAGTTTCCATACTCTTTTAGTAGAAACTAAAATAGTTCTCTTTGGAGACTATTTCAACACATATTACAAGTATTTGGAATTAATTTGATACTTTTATAAAGTTTGGGACTAAAATGACCACATGTAAATTGTCAAAGGACCATATTGACACATAACTCAAACAAATAAGCACAGACCTCTTCAGCTGAAGGGCGATCCTTTGGGTCAAATGCTAGTAGTCTTCGCAAAAGTTTGAGGGCCAAAGGATCCGCATCTGGAAACTTTTGCAAGAATGGAATCGGTTGCTTTTTCCTCATACTACTCAAAAACCTTCTCGCTTTATCATTTCGAACCTTTTTGTCAAATGAGAAGAGATATGAGAACAAGCAACAGGCTTGGAAGAAATTCTAAATTTCAATATAACATTTCGAGAGAAAACCACCATACCCGAGATATAGAATCTATGGAAGGTGTGCCAAGAAGATCAGTCATCAAGTCCAATTGATGTACCACATTTTTTCCAGGAAATAAAGGCTTCCCAGTTAATACCTCAGCAAAAATGCAACCAATGCTCCAAATGTCTATGGCTGGTGTGTACTGCAAACGCAGAAAACATCGTTCAATTAAAAAAAAGTACAAAATCATGAGTTAAAATATATACTACCAAAAATTTAATAAAAAATACATCAGATAGCTAATACAGCTTGCAAGTAGTCTAGTCCAAAATAATTCTTGAACAAGCACTTTATTTTGAGGGAAATTTACATACCTACAACTCTTATGTATTTACATATCTCACGCCTAAACTTCCATAATTACATACATGGCACTTTGGTGCTTCAGACCTATGCATGAAAAGATATATTTGACTTTTAAAAAGTGTTAATAGAGCTATTATTTATGTGATATTATAGATTTAAGTGCTATGTGTGTAAATATGAAAGTTTACATGATACATAAGAATTGCGTACTATGTATGTAAATGCCCCTCATTTTAATTAATTGCAATCATACCATAAAACAGTTCGATTACAAAAGATTCCGAATTCAAGAAAAATACTAAATTTAATCAAGTTTCATAATCATAACGGTTAAAATCACCACTTCGCTGGAATTTGAATGAACTGAAATTCTGTTATGAGTGAAGTCTTTCTAGTAAGACCAATACGAGGAACTTGTGCAACGACATCAGAAATTCATTAAAAGTTGTGTAGTTAAACAGGGAGAGATGATACAACGCACCAGTGATAAGACAACAAAAAGGGATCGCTTTGCAGAAGATGATGCAAAGTGGAAATATTTCAAGAACATAAAATTATGATAAATAATTGCATTTTATGTTTCAAAAACATAATAATTACCTTGGAGAAGAAAGAACCGCATAGCTCAGGCGCTCGATACCACCTTGTTGCAACATAATCCTAAATATTTTCAATAAAAAATTCAAATGAAACTAATTTTGATCTCCCAAAGTAACCAAAAGTAAAAGCGATCTAACCAAATTATTATTGATATACCGTCCAAAACACTGTTGATGGGGTATCACTGAATGCCACTCTTGCTAATCCGAAATCACAAATTTTGAGCTTGCAGTTGGCATTTGCTAATATATTCTTTGGCTTTAAATCTCGATGATAAACATTAGCTGCATTAGTTTGATTAACTTCAGTATAAATTAAGATAAGCATGCTAAGCAACGAGCAAAATGATCTGATTACATAACAGTAGTGCATCAAAACACAATGAACTGCCAAAAAAAAATATAAAACAACACCAAAGTGTTTTCTTTTGCTCAAAGGTACAGGCGTACATAAATATTTACATTCTTACAGGATGTTATTGAAAAAAAAAAATTGAAGAAAACAAGCAAGATTGTCAGGCCATATAGTAGCAGCACTGTGATATTAAGTTCCAGCAAAAATGAAATGACATCAACATCCAATAACATTGTTCAAATTTAACAGACTTATGATAAGAAAATAAACGAATTCAACCTGTGTGGATATACTTTAATGCGCGTAAGAGCTGATAAAGAAAAAATTGGTAATGCTCTTTGGTCAAGTCATCATTGGCTTTGATAACTTGATGAAGATCTGACTCCATAAGCTCAAAAACAACATAAATATCTTTAAAATCCCTCTTTGATGGGGGTAGCATGATGTGCTTTATTTCTACAATGTCAGGATGTCTAAGAAGTCTAAGAAGCTTGATCTCACGAAGAATACGGGCAGCATCTGAGATGTGCTCAAAAATATCATGTATCTTCTTGATAGCCACCTTTTCTCCAGTTTGAATGTCTATAGCGGAGCACACAACTCCATAACTTCCTTTCCCTATGACCTCCTGAATTTTGTATCTGCTGGCATCCCCATATTCAGTGAAGAAGTCCATCTCTGGAGTATCCTGTAAAATATAAACGATCACACTTTGTCACAAAAAGTCTTTGAACTCAAAGAATAAAAGGAAAAGAAATGTAATAAAAATTAGGGGAAATTGCATACATAGCATGAATCTAGAACCCTCTTTCATCCATTTTTCAAATTGTCACTCAAATTAAAATTCATCATAAAAGCCCAACCCATTCATCGCGGCACGAGTAAATACATCGGTTCAATAGTTCAAAAATATTACTTGGATTTTGTAAACAACAATGTTTCAAGTGCTATGTATGTAATTATCCCTAAATTATAGATGGTTGACAGCAAACAGCAACAATAACTAGGGAGATAATTATAATGTGCTAGCGAACTTGCTTTCAAACTCCACCGGGTCTATTAATCTACAATCTAATTCAACAAAAACTACAATCACAAGGTAACTCTGCAATTTCTCAATTTGATGTGGGAAAGAGCGGAACTTCTTTTCAAGATGAATCCAGAACATCTTAAGCGCATGCATACAGAAATCTAGCCTCTAAATAAAGAAAGCAACTTGAGCTTCCCAATCCCCAATAAAAGCAAAAGTTAGATGGCATAAAATCTCATTCTGTCAATATATATATATATATTTCAGTGATCACAAACAACAGCCATAATTTATCAAAAACATATCTAACGGAAATAAATAAATAAATAAAAAAAAAAGTTGCTATGAGGTTATATCAAATTCTTGCGGGTGAATGAGAATAAGACACATAACAATCAGAGAATTTGAAATAAAAGAAGGAATAATTATCAAATTATGATGAATATGAATGAAAAGCAAAAGACCAAAAAAATCTAAAAGATCAAGGCCCTCAACGAAGTTCAATGTAAATTTTCAAATTGTTTGCCAAATTGAGGGAAACATATATATGAAGACCCATAAAAACCTGCCATTCATTTCATATTGGAATCATGCAAATAATAATAATAATAATAATAATAATACTATTCATCCGGGCAATTCCATCAATAGAAAAACCGAAGATAAAATACGCAAACTTCCATCGCAATAAAACGATTGAGAACATTCAAGTTAACAAAAAGAACCGGACAAAGAACCGCAAGCAAGAAACAACGAGCAGCATCCAAGTATGCTCGCAATTCAAAAGAACTCACCAAAACCCAACCGGGAAAAAAGTAATTTAATCGCACCATTCAAAATCTAAATATTTCAATTTCAATATCTAAACAAAACCTTGCTGCGGGAGCAGATCTTAATTCCAAACCAAAAATAAAATTATAGAAAGACGGAAAGAACAAAGTTCAAAGAACAAGATACTGACTAAAATCATACCTTCTTGCGCTGATCCTGCTGCATCTCCGCTCTCGTTGAAGGAAAGCCTAAAAACCGCAATGTTCCAAACGCTCTTTTTGACGCTCTTCCACTTCCCAAACCCTAAAACGTCAACCTTAAGCCGAAGCTCACCAAATTAACATCAACATCGCATTAAACCAGAACAATCTACAAGAACATCATCCGCATTTGCCTCCTCAATACCTCATAAGATCATAAAGATTGAGCAGAATCCTCATCCACTCACAGACCCTCTCTCAGCTAAACACATCTCTAGAGAGAGAGAGAGAGAGAGAGTGCGTGGCCGTCAGTTTGGGTTTTCATTTTATACTGTAACGGCCTCCGCCCCCAGTTGTCGGTCGCCTTAGGAATACGGTAGTGGCACATTTAGTAATATTTTTAAAAGAGAAGCCCTTTTACAGTAGCTCTTAGTAGGCAAATCAAATTGGGTAAGGATGATCAGAGAGAATTAATTGGCGTGAGATTTGATCAACGTAAATTTTAATTCATGGAGGTTGAAATGGTAACATTATCTTATCATATAAAAGATTTGACATAAAACGTGTAATTAAAGACTTTCCTTTGAGGTCATAATTCGTGTTTAGCTCGTTAAGAAGCTCGTATTCGATTCATTCATTACGTTAACGAGTCAAATATAACATTTTTTTTTGCTAGCGGAACACGAACAATGATTTGTTTGTTTGTGCTCGGCTCATTTTGACTCAAAAAAAATTATATGTATAATTGATTAGTATTTTTAAAAAATTAATTGATTGCAAAGCTATAAATATTTATAATCAATGAAAATTATTAATAAAATATAGAATAAGAATATATTAAATTGTATTTCAATGATGTTTTAATATAAATCATAAATTTTAAATCTCGTCCCAACCTTTAACATCTTATGTTTGTGTGATTACACTTATCAAAATGACTCATTGCCAGTGAACAGCTAGTGTTATAATTGCTAAATAAACGAGTCGAACACGAACACAATTTTTTTATGCTTGAAATATAAAGGAGCTGAATTCAAATAGTGGTACGTGATTACGCTTATCAAAATGACTCATTGTCAGTGAACAGCTATACTAGCTAAAAAAATGAGTCGAACACGAACACAATTTTTTTATACTTGAAATATAAAGGAGCTGAATTCAAATAGTGGTATTTCTTAATGAGCCGAACAATTGCTTGTATTCAGCTCGTTTACACCCTCTACTTTCCATAATTTGAAGGAGATTTTTACATTCATATTTCATATATATATATATATATATATTTATAAGTTTATTTATGTATGGAAGATGTATTTGATGTTTTTAATTAAAATTTTGAATTTTTTTTATTAAAATCTTGATTTTTTTTTTGATAATTGAAAATGTATTGGCAAAAGATTTTGTTTTGAAAAAAAAAATTTGGCTTTTTATATCAAATCATGCCATTTGAATTGAATCATTGTATTTGAAGTGACAATTTGAAATATCATTGCAAAACTCCAATTTTGAATAAGCTAAAGAATTTATCTATATAAAAATACAAATGAATTGGTAAAAACACATACCTGGCGTGGTGCTATAAGGAAATAACATTAGTATATATAGAAGGCTCATTTTATCCTATTTTGAATGCATCTTCATCTAAAAGGAGGGACAATTGATGTACATAAATAGGGGTGTAAACGAGCCGAGTTTGGGCAGACCTAAACTTGTCTGTGTCTGGCTCGTTTGATCTCTTTATTCTTTTTCAACGCGTACTCAAAATAGCTTGTGAAAAGTTTATTTGTGTTTGGCTCGATTCAAACTAATCTGTTCGAAGTAAGTTCGTGTTTGGCTTGAATATGAGCTCGGCTTGAATTGGAGCTTAACAACTATAACTCTCAAGCGAGCAAGGCCACAAGGCTAGCACTCAAAATGAGGAATTTATTGTATTTAATGATCTCTAAGGGTGTAAATAAACTTCTCCCACGTGATTGTGGCTTTTCTTTTCCCGTGCGCAGTCTTTGCCGCAGGTCGAATTAGTTTGTGCGCAGTCTTTGCCTCTGTATGTTCTGATATAGTCCTCCTCTTCCTATTTTCTCGTTTAGTATTAGAGCAGAATCACCTTTTACAAGGATGGATTCTCAGAACCACTTTCAATTGTTTGATGTCCCATATCAAGAACGTGGTTACTACTTCCCTTGCCCAAGACAATTACCTTGTATGGAAAGTGCAGGTCTCTAAACTTCTTACTGCTAACCAATACAATCCTTTTCTTGATAGCAAAAACACCCAGCCACCAAGATTCACAAGAAATGAAAACAACACCCATGTGGAAAACCCAAATCATCTTTTTTGATAATTGATAGACAAGAATCTTACTACTGTAGACCATCTCACCTTCAATTCTTTCAAATCTTCTTCATATAAACACGACTGTTGAAATATGGGGCGTTCTAACAAAACAATTTCAATCCACGAATCGATCAAGAGTCACTCAGTTAAAGAATGAATTGCATAATGTCACAATAGGAACCAGGTATGTATACTTTTAAAATACAAATGTGAAAGTAACTCTCATTTTATTGCTCTTCATAACAAGACAAAAGATCATTTTAATAAAACTATAAAATATTTGAGAACAGATGAAGGTGGAGAATATATGTCAAGTGAATTAAAAATGTATCTTACTCAAAATGACCTTACACATCAGTTTAGTTGCCCTTACACCCACAACAAAACTGTATAGCTGAATGAGAACATCATCACTTCATTGAGACCGCTAGCAATCTTCTAAATACGACTCATTTACCCATCCAATTTTAGATGGATGCACTTCAAACCGCCAACTATCTCATAAACTGCCTCCCCTGTACAAACGCTTCTAAAAAAATCTCCTTATCAACTTCTCTATCACAACCCTCCTGAATATGAGCATCTAAAAACCTTAGGTTTCTTATGTTTTCTCTGACAATAACAGAACTCTCATAATAAATTCTCTCCAAAGGCAGCTTCCTACATTTTTCTAGGATATAGCATGCAACACAAGGGTTACAGATGCTTCGACACACAGGCTTAGAAAGTCATTATTTCTAGACATGTTCATTTCATTAAAGTTGTTTTTCCCTAAACAACTTATCCAGCCAACTTCCGCCCACCCCAACACAATCTTTTTCTTTTTTAATTCCCACCTCCACCTTTATTGCTCCTACGCATACTCCCAATGCTTCTTCCACTAATATTACCCCACAAAGCTCTGCTCAGAACCTATTTCCAATCACCACTATAGCTCACCCTCCTCTTCCCACTACCTCCACCACTCAATCTTCACTAATTCCCCATCTTCAACAAATCTTCCTCAACCCACACAATCCAAATCCTGTGCTCATTTTTTAACCAGCCTCAGACGCCAATCAATGATCACCATATCTCAATCTAGCACCTTAAAACATAAAAAAAAATCTTAGACTTACAACACCACATTACCTCATTTGATGATCTCCACACCTACCATCAAGCAGTTCAACATTCACGCTGGAGGCAAGCTATGTCCGAAGAGTTCATGACACTACAACAAGAAGGAACATGGGAACTTGTACCTCCACCTGCACATCAACAAATATTAGTATTACTTAGACAACTTCATAACACGATAGAAAGCTAGGTCTGTAGCTCAGTCTCGCAACAACAAGGTATTGACTATAATGAAAAATTCAGTCTAGTTGCTAAAATTCCTACTATTTGCATGCTTATTACTCTTGCCACTACCAAACAGTGGGAAATACAACAATTTGACATATCTAATGCCTTTCTTCATGATAAATTGGAGGATAATTTTTTTATGAAACAACCTCCTGAATTTATTGATAACACTTACCCTCATTATGCGTGTAAATTACAAAAATTTCTCTATGGTTTCAAACAAACCTTGAGATAGTAATGACATCGAACATCTTTGGTTATATAACTTAAGATGAGTCTTGCATCTTAAATGGATTCTCCTTTTGATCCTGTTCTAGTACAGATTGCAATCATCAAGTGAACACTCTTTGATTGAACAACCTAGAAAAAGGCAAGCATTCTTAGGGACAATTAAGAAATCAGACGAAATTGGCTGAAAAGTTGGGCAACAACATCATGTAACCGCCCAAGAGATGGGAGAACCACAACTCAAAAGGATAGAGAAAAGCAACCTTAGAAGCAACATCAAAATTTTTACTACATCAAACAAAAGAATGATGCACAAATAAACATTCTCAATCAACAACTACATCAGTCCGACACAAGCATCGATAAAAATGAGAGAAAAAATAGAAAAAAAAAACATCAACCCATTTCAACATTTTCCTCATCAGCAGGAGTGCACTACTACGAGCCGCTTTTAACTTCTTTGTTTTTTGGGTCATAGAGGGGATCATTTGGATCCTGGATCAAAGACATGTCCTCAAGAATCATAGTTTTCTATTTTCTTCTTCAAGAGTCAAAATCCTCACTTGGAAAGCCTACAATGTCTTTGTGCTCTAATCAAGGTTAGCTCATGTCTCCTTCAATTTCTCTTGATCATGTCTTCTTGAATTCTTCTTGAGCATCCATCAGTTCTCTGTGTTGATATGAGAGACAAATATCCATGAAGGATAAGCCATCCAGATACATTGCTAACCGAGTCACTAATGACCATGTGTAAATTGCAAGAGATTTATTCATCTTGTTGTGCTCGCAAAAGACGTGGTTGATCTTCACACAGTCTTTCATGCCCTCAAAGAAATGGCCAACTCATTTTCAAATAGGGTTGGCATTGCCTCCTCAAAATTCTTGTGTTTATGCTAATTTTTGAGGGGGCATAACTCTCTAGATAATGACATCTTAGCAATACGAGAATTCCGCAAGAATGCAAAAACTCCAATTTTTTCAGTCTTATCTTGAAAGCACGTGGAAAAACTCCAACTCTTCTTCTTTACATTTTTGAGAAGAACTTTGTCTTGCTCCAACTTGGATCTTCCTCTTCTTTTTATTTTGACCTTCTCCCTCTTGCTCTTCCTTAGGCTTGGGCTTAAGCTCCCCATTTGATCTCCTTCCTTCGCTTCTCTTGCTC